ATATATGATTTACAAAATGAACTACAGTCAGGAGCAACAGATTAGCAATATAAGAATCTTTCACTTAAAATAGTCACATTTGGATTGTGTAATCCAGCCTGACTAGTTGAGTCTCTTAATATTAGTCTTGAAAGAATGCATTGTACAAACCTCTATTCGTTTATTGCTGTACCACTCATGTCCTGGTATCTTACCTGTACCTGCCTGTCTTTCATCATCCTGGTTCTGAATACTTAAGTTCAGTGTCTTCTTCCTATCCTAAAACTATTGTTGTTGCTGTCAATTCGTACTCATCTTGGCGTTGTACCAGCCAGGCCAGGCAAAGGAATTGGTTTGTTTCATGTGTTCCAGTAATTCAAGATACGCTAAGTGCAGTGGGAAACTTCTGCAGAGTAATTATGTTGGAATGGTTTCCTTGGTTTGTGACCAACTTTCTCGCATGGTAATTTGATGCTGATGGCCTCTTTCCCAGCAGTGGCTGTGTGCTGTGTTCCCTTTGTCTACTAGCCTCCAAACTCGAAGTCAAGATACTTGGACCCTCAAACCTTGAACACATTCTGGGGGCAATCTCATTCTCCTCTTTGAAAAGGAAACACAGCAGTTCTCAAACTGGTAAAATTCACCAGGAGAATCAGGTGACTGTGCAGTGTTGAACACTTTAACTTTTTCATGACAGAAGGTTAATGAATTTTAAGATTAAATGCTCATTGTTCAACATGCCTTTTATGGATTATATTATCTTTGAATTGTCCTTTCTGGTGGTAGCCTCTCAAGTGACTTTTTACAGATATACTTTCAGTCATATTACCAAAGATGCTGCACTTAATCAGCTTGCATAAAAACACAGGTTCGCTTAGTGTGAAGGGTCAGTGATCTTGCACTCAGTGCTGCTTTACTTAAAAAAGATGAGTTGGGTCTTATAATAAAAAGCTTGAAAGCTTGTCAGATGTTTGCAAAGATGTCATGCAACTTCTCATGCAAAGGTATGAAGCATGGTATGACACAGGAAATGTCCCAGGGATTTTGGGAGAAGTGCTGACACTCATATACTCTGCCGCGTGTATATAGACTAGTGTAATTCAAAAGCAATTGAGCTGAATCTTTATTTGAAGCCATACTAGAGAACTTTAGTAAAAAAGAAACTGTTCAGTACTGATAACTGTTGTGGGATTTTAACCTACTGATGCTAATTTTCTCAAAAACCTTTTGTTGAATGATATTTTCATTCAAGGTCAGTTGGCATGCCCAGCTGTAGAAGGTTAAAGCTTGATGTAACATTTTCAGATGGGTCAGTAGTCTATACAGTTATAGTAGGATGTAAGTGAAATCCGTTATGCCTTTGTGTTTCTCTGTAGTTTCTTCCTGTATATGTCTAAGATGGCAAATATCTCTCGGCTCTAGGGAAGAGGTGTAGAACAGCATGAAACTAATGGGCATGTTTCTAGCAATCTTCTAGCAATCAATTTCCAATGCCAGGAGGTAAACCTGGAGAAGACTAATATGGGTGATTATGCTGGCTTTGATTGCCAGAGTTAATGTCAGTGGAGAATAATATGCTTACTGCCTTCCAAAGTAAAATACTAGAGTTTCTTGCACTAAAGTGTTAGAGTTCTCTAAGTATTATGGACTCAAGCATACAATGTCAGGGCATCTATATTGGACTGGTAGAGAACCGGGAATACCCAGGCCAGGCTAACAAGTATGCATTCTTAAGAAGTATAGATTGCCGAAAACTAAGACTTGATAATGAGAATGCTAAGTCTCTCCACTGTAAATGCCTGATTACGCTAGTTGAAGGTGAAATACCATGAATACCTGCAGAATATTCATTGGCATTTAAATGTCAGATACATTTTTGGGGCAGACAGTTTCAGTTGCAAGGTGCCAATCCCAGTTAGTCTCGTTGTGGATGCTTTTAAGAGTAATCTGCTTAATATGACCCTTATAACCAGCCAGCACCATTCACCTGTTAAAATATTTCAGAATCCAGCACTTCAGGGAGCTGCTTTGACAGCTTTGGTGGGTAAATGATAAATCTAACTGAAACAAGCAGAAGAATTATGTGAACACTGCACAGAGCTTCTGAAAAGATAACTCAGTCCAACATGGATGCTTTCTTAGCAGTTTTGTGTTTGCAGACTGTACTGTTAGTGTGCCAGAGATCCTGTGGGCTAGCTACTTCTAACAGTATACAGTCTGGCAGTATGTGCCTTTCAGATCCTTTTTTAACCTAAGATCGTACCTTTTTTCTTTCATTTTCTTCTGACAGTAAGAGTGCTTTTGCTAATAGCCTTGCCACGCGTTGAGGACACTTTTTAAAATAGTCTAACTGTTATTTGATCCATTTTGGTGTTCTGAGGTATATCAAAGCCCAGGGCTGAAAAGTTAGTGTCACTGCTACTGAAGAGAGATGCTTTAAACAGATTTTTTTTTTTTTCAGAACAGATCTATCTGGTCTGGAATTTAATTTTGTATTTCAGACTGCAATAGTTAATTTACAGTCATAGTAGCGATAGAACACTTTGGGTTTTTTCAGCTCGGAGTTATCAACCTCAGTTGCTAAAGTTTATGTTGCTCTTTAGTCTCATGTGTAAGGCAGAGCGGTAGTAGGCCAGTATGTAACTCTTGAAGATTTGTGAAATGAAAGGGAACACTGCTTGAGAGTAGGCGTAATTTTAGCTTTGAGATTTTGTGCAGACATTCTTACAGCAAGAGGAATTAAATTTTACTTCACAATATACTTTGTGAACATAAGGGTAGAATATTAGTTGAATTTCTAACCAAAGCCACAGATAGCTTAATAGTGTTTTGAAGATTTTTTTGTTCATTAAATGCAGCTTTGTTTCTGTTGAATTGTAGTAGGAAGCTGAAAAGGTAATACTAGAGGAAATAAGCTTGAAAGTGACTTTCTGGGGTTTAGCATGTTTTTTCCAAACACAGTATATTGATCTGTTTACTGTAGTGAATAGATAAAGTCTAGGCTTTGTGAGAATCAACATCACCTGACTTCACAGCCCTGTGTACATCTCCTGTCTTTACCAGTTCAGTTGATTTGGTTACTTGTTGGTAACAAGGAAGTAGAGGTCTGTCACAAATGAGTTACATCACTGAGGATTAAAACATGACTACTTTTTTTCTGTGAAATGGATGGACAAGGACCATGGGCTGCATGCAGTTCAGAGGATGTAGTATGGCGAACAGTCTGCTTCATTAGCTTTTGAGTCCTAATTCTGGGCTCATTTAAGAAAGGGGGCGGGGGGGGGGGGGGGGGCAGTGTCAGCTTTGGTAAATGCTAGTTAATTTTAGTGCACCCATGAGATAAGATGTGTTTTCTAAGATTTTCTCTTTTAATAATTCAGAGCTTTCTATGTGTCAGAACTGTGATTTACCTGAAACATAGGTAGGAGATGTGTTGCTATATTGCCAGTCAGTTTTTAATAAATAAATTAATGAGCATAAGTTTATAAAACCTACATTTTAGTTTAGCCAGATTTTGAATCAAATAGTCGAATTTCCTGAGTGTTTGCATGTAGTGACTTCACTGTTCGGAGCAGACTTTTAATAGATCCACTAGATCCACCTTGTGTCCAGCACTTCCGAACTAATTCTTCTTTGCCACTTTTTAGTTTGCCTTGATTCTAAGAGATAGGTGCATTTTACTTTTAATGCAGGGGGTTTTTCCCACTTAATCCAGAACTCTCTTAACTTGTTGGATACGTCTGTCCAAGAGGATGGGAAAAATTCAATACTCCAAGGAGGAATCCTTCAGAGGAGTCTTTTTATAGTGCAAAATTTATTCTCAAAAACATTTTCTTAGAACGGAAGCATATCAATGTTGAATTTTATGTTTGTATGTGAGAGTGGTGGTTCTGCATGTTTGAGATGTTGGAATGGAAATTAACAAAATCAAATCATATTGGGAACTAAGCACGAGTTTTAAGAAACCTAGTTTGGCTTTACCACAGTGCTGCTTTCCTCGAGAGGGCAGAAAAAACTCAAATCTTCTCTTTCAAGAGAAACTTCTTTTTAAAGTCAGAGTATACATATTGAGACTGCGTGGTGGTAATGGATATTGAAAGTTTTTCTGGTGTTAACACAAAGTTAGAAGTGTTACAGTAAGAGTTACAACTCTGAGAAACCTGTAGACTAATGAAGATTAGATGAAGTGTGACGGTAAATGAAAATAGCTGAGTAGGAACACTTAGAAAACATGGAATAGATTTTCAAAAGCAACTTGTAAAGTGGAAGCTTGTAATCTATTGCACGTTAATGGGAATGGGATAAAATGCTTAAGACGCTTGGAGAAGAAATACACCACAGCAGCCTGAAATTGATTTTTGAAAATGTTTTCTTGATATTACAGCTTCAGGCACATGAGTGTTTTAATGATTAGGAGCTGAGGGAGGGGAGTATCACAGTGATATGCAGAGATTGATTAGGGATTCAGTTTGCTCAAATACAAGAATGAGGGGTGGTTATATAAGACTGAAATTCAAACCGAAAGGAGGAGGTTCTTCACATGAATGATTGTGGATCTGTGAAGCTCCTTGTCAGAGGACTTAATGGGTGTAAGAAATTTATGCAGGCTCAAAGGGAAGCTGAAGTATGTGGAAGAAATCCATGAAGGCTGCCAAACAGACAAATCATATCAGGCTCAGGAAAACACCTGAAAATAGTTAGGGGCTGAAGAACACTTTGGAATATCATGTTTTTTTCTGTTTGTTTTTGGAGAAGGGGCTAGAGGGAACTTGGGTCATATTATGAAGGAGGAAGAATCTGAGCAAAGAGTTACAGCAGAAGAGGGAGAAAAGCCAATGAGTGACCAAAGTCTTTTCACATTTTTAAATACAAAATTAGAGTGAAATGTTGTAATGAGCAGTAATGAGAATAGGAAAAACACATTTGATTTTTTTTTTTGTTTAGTATAAATGTGGATAAGTAGGTATTAGTTGGAGGAACTAAAATTTCTAATTATTCTTGTTTATCACTCTTTTTATTAGCAAAACCAAATAGGAAGCTGACATTCCTGTACTTGGCCAATGATGTCATACAGAACAGCAAAAGGAAAGGACCAGAATTTACGAAAGACTTTGCTCCAGTAATAGTGGAGGCTTTTAAGCATGTTTCAAGGTACAGTAAATTGTTATGTGCACTGTCCTTCATCATACTGTATTTGAGGGGGATTTAGAGAAGTCCTCAGTTTATCTCATCTGACCCAGCTAGTCCTTGTGTGCTATTTCTGTACTTGAAGTCTTGTTAATTTAATTTACTCAATGTTCTTTTGCTCTTGGATAGTCTTAACGCTGTTGGATGAAGTTACGTAGTAAATTCATCTGCACTCAGACCCTTTTGCCTTAGAAAGCTGTTAGCTATGCCTTAAATTAAGACTTGCTTTCAGTCTGCATTTCTATGCTACAACAGTTTGATATGTTTCATTACTAGTATTGCATGATTTGTTTTTTTTCCCAGCAGCCATTCATCTCATCACATGAGGATGCTAGAGTCTTGATACAGATTTTCACATGGTACACAGCTGTTGAAGCAACACAAACCTATTTGCAGTGTTCGTGTAATAGGGTTACAGACCTATGGATTTATAGATTGAGCAAGCAAACAGAGGGAATTGCATGTTGACTTTTTTTTAATGTGCTTGCTAAGACATCTTGAACTGGTCTTTGCTTTCTTTTCTTTAAAACGTGATTGTGTTATTTTCTGAGATTATTGGACTTCTGTTATTGATAAAGTATGCCAAGGTCCTTCTGGGAACCATAATCGTACAGCAGTGCTGTACTTTTACCTAGTGCTGATTTTTGTTTTTTTTTTCCTTGTAACAGTGAGTCTGATGAGAGTTGTAAGAAACACCTTGGCCGAGTGCTCTCTATCTGGGAAGAAAGGTCTGTTTATGAAAATGATGTATTAGAACAACTTAGGCAAGCTTTGTGTAAGTATTTTGTGTGTGTATGAAGATTCAGTCTCTTGTTTGAAATATTATTTCTCTGACTCCTCTTTTTTCATTTAGATGGAGACAGAAAGGTGAGGAAGCGCACATATGAACAGATAAAAGTTGATGAAAATAACTGTTCACCTCGAAGTTCTCCCACTGACCCTCCACAGGTAAAAGCATGTTTATAAAATTCTGTATTTGCATATGGCTTGATACAGAATTTTTCAGTTACTCTTGTTTTTGAATGGTCTCTGTTTTTCATTTTAATGAGGTACTGTCTCTGAGCAAGGGTCACTACAGTGGAAACTTTTCTTCACAGCACTTTATGTTACAGGTGGAGCTAAGAAGTTGAGCATGCTGTAACTTTAGTCGGTTTGACACTAAACCAGAATGTATGAATAATGTATCCAGCTTTGTCCACATCAGGATTTCGGCATTAATTTCTACAACATTTTAGGTTCTCATTTGGTTTCCAGGGTGGTAACCAGTAACACATGTATTAGAATAAGATTGTTATTGGTTTATCAATAAAATATTTCTCAATGTTGCAATCATGATGGTTGGGTGAAGTTCTTGTCTACCTCGCATTGTTACGGCTTTTATAATTCTCGTGGGTTTTTTGTTATGGTACTGCCTGATCTCAAAAGGCTTTTTGTTATGGCAAGGAATGACTGTCCTCAAATAATCACAATTTAGTATGTTTCTCTGTAACAGACATCTGGGCTTCTATGAACATCAGCCCTACTTCCAAAAGAAGTGCACTGATCTAGTCTGATGCGATAGTGAAGCAAAACTACAAGAAAAATAATTTCAAAAATGTATAGTAAAATGAAAGGTACTGTAAAATAATCACTACTGTCGAAAAGAAAAGATTTATAAGTAGTCCTATACCAAGAATATAAATGAAAAATCTATTTTAGGAAGGTGACCTTTAAAACTAAGAACACTGCAATGTTGTTCTGAGAATTAATTAGTTTGGTTTTGTTTTCAGTCTGAGAGGGGATAGAATGTTGCTATAATGCTGATACCGTAAATGCTTTTAAAATTACCATCAAATTGATTCCATAAGCTTATTGTGAAATAGTGTTTTGTACTAGGATCTGTTTATTTAAACTAGTTCTCAATCTTGCATGCTTTTTTCAGACCACAGATCTCATTAGAGCATTACAAGAACTAGAAAACGCTGCCTCTGGGGATGCAGCAGTTCATCAGAGAATAGCTTCTTTGCCTATAGAGGTCCAAGATGTGTCCCTGTTAGACAGAATAACAGGTGAGGGTTGGGGATCCGGTAACTGAAATGCTGTTCTGAGAACTTAACAGTATATAATGAAATCATGCTTTACTTGTTTTTCTCTGCTTGCTTTTTAGATAAGGAATCTGGAGAGCAACTTTCCAAAATGGTAGATGATGCATGTATGTTGCTGGCGGATTACAATGGCAGGTTGGCAGCTGAAATAGATGATAGAAAACAGCTAACTCGAATGTTGTCGGACTTTCTCCGATGCCAAAAAGAATTCCTTGCAGAGAAAGAACATAAGCTGGAAGTGCGTAATGTTTTGTTTTAGTCCATTCTTCACTAAAGCTTGTTCTTGCAAATGTTTTTAGTTTGCCTAAACAAATTTTCTCTCCAAAGGTAAATATTTAATCAGCACTGTAAGGTCTTTGCTTCCAGCACACTTTTAACAAGATTTTTTTTTTTTGGTTCTAGTGTTCTAAATCTATTAAACCAGCTCAACATTAGGTAATGTTACAACTGTAATCACTTCAGCGTGTCTTTCTGGTTTTTAGCCTATTCAGTCTTCATTATATGTACAGACTTAGTTTTAGTGGTGCAGATAGAAAGTCTTATACTGCACGGTACAAACTTAATTCTTGGTAGAATAAATTTTTTCTTGTTCTTTTCATTCATTGTTGTAAGTCTTAGTTATGTATTACATTGTTTAATAATATCCTTTTTGTGAATAGAATTATCTTTCTTGTAGTTGTAGGTTTCTGAAGACACTTAAAGGATAAGAATTTAATTACTGGTTTCAGCACAACTTTTTAACCTGACTCAAGCATCCATTAAACCCAGTAAAATGTAGTTTTAGGTTCTACAGCGTCTAACACAGTTGGTTAGCAGCATTTGTAGCACTAGCACCATTAGGACAGGACAAATCATTAATAAAAAATCATTAATAAAAGAAGGATGCAGAGTGAACAGCTCATTATGAGCAAATGATCCCCTAAGTTACTCCATTCTTCACTGTTACCAGTCATCCGTTTTCCTTTCCTATCATAATACTGTTAGGCCTCCTATTGAACATCCTATGTATCCTAAATAGGGCCACAATTTCATCTTCATTGCTTCCCAAATCCCTTGTCTCAGCTTTGAGACGTAGGTTCCAGCACTAACTTGGGTATTACAGTAATAGAACTGAAGTTGCATCTTTTTGCAAGGGGAGATAGAATCATAGAATCATTAAGG